TCATGAGCGGTTAAGACGTGAAAATTTGCAAACCGCACTTGAAAAATTAACCACGGAAAAACCAGCAGGAACAGAGTACTGACTTTTGCGCCGGTTAATGGAGAAAACTCCACTCTACAATTCCTGAAAGTTTCATTCTCTTGGCGAGTTTGACCAGATTTTGACAAATTTTCAAAATACCACTGGTCTAGAGGGGACGCAAGGCAAGCAAATATGCAAAACACATATCAAAAATTGCCTCAAAAAAAACCAGCGCAGATACAGTGCGTTATTTTGCAGCTTTAAATAAACGAGACTTCACTCTATGCTTCCTCAAAGTTTGATTGCTTTGACGAGTTTGACCACATTCTGACAAATTTTTCAAAACCAGTTCATGAGCGGTTAAGACGTGAAAATTTGCAAACCGCACTTGAAAAATTAACCACGGAAAAACCAGCAGGAACAGAGCACACTTTTTTACGCAAGTTAATAGAGAAAACTCCACTCTACAATTCCTGAAAGTTTCATTCTCTTGACGAGTTTGACCAGATTTGGTCAAATTTTCAAAATACCACTGGTCTAGAGGGGACTCAAGGCAAGCAAATATGCAAAACGCATATCAAAAATTTCCTCAAAAAAAACCCGCAGAGATACAGCGTGGTATTTTGCAGCTTTAAATAGACGAGACTTGGCTCTATGCTTCCTCAAAGTTTGATTGCTTTGACGAGTTTCCCCATATTTTGACAAATTTTTCAAAAACAGCTCAAGAGCGGTCAAGACGTGATAATTTTCAAACCGCACTTAAAAAAATTAACCACGGAAGAACCAGCAGGAACAGAGCACACTTTTTTACGCCAGTTAATAGAGAAAACTCCACTCTACAATTCCTGAAAGTTTCATTCTCTTGACGAGTTTGACCAGATTTTGTCAAATTTTCAAAATACCACTGGTCTAGAGGGGACTCAAGGCAAGCAAATATGCAAAACGCATATCAAAAATTTCCTCAAAAAAACCCGCAGAGATACAGCGTGGTATTTTGCAGCTTTAAATAGACGAGACTTCACTCTATGCTTCCTCAAGGTTTGATTGCTTTGACGAGTTTCCCCATATTTTGACAAATTTTTCAAAAACAGCTCAAGAGCGGTCAAGACGTGATAATTTTCAAACCGCACTTAAAAAAATTAACCACGGAA